CAGATAAGAATCAAGGCTTTGGGAGCCAGATTTGAAAGCAGGGAAAAAAAGTTGAAGCAAGAATAAGAAAAGAAGCTATAGAACATGAACTTGTAAAATATTGTTGTAGAAATTCTCAAATTAAATTCTAATTGTATCTTACTTGAAGGCATTTTCTTTATGTGAGATGATACTATAACTTGAATTCAAATTTAGAATTTAAAAATGTCTTTCTTTTTTGTATTCGTAACAACAAAGAAATTCTGAAAGCTTTTCAGTGATCTTTTGTTCAGATTTTTTGATTGAATTAAAAGATCAGATCAAATTCTATGGAAAAATCTAACAGTCTAGAAAGACTGTATATCATAGTAGATAAGATTTTGCTTGTATAATCTAAAACTGAAAGTTGGTTTGGGGTGTATTTTTGACAACAAAGTGGTTAAAAATGAACACAAAAGGGATATTTTACAAAATAATCCATCAAATGTGTTGGTTTCCCACCATAATGAGACTGACCACAATTTTGACATAAAAAATTCTACTCTGATCAAAAGAGAAAATAATTCAGTACGATGTAAATGTCTAGAGAGTGCCTTAATCGCAAAGTCATCTACAGTAAATTTGCACCCTGGCTCTTACAACCTTTCACCATTCTTGGCAGATTTTTTTAATATCAGTGTGGAATACCTACTTACAAAAGTGATAGAAAATAAAGAAAAAGACTTTAAATTAATTCAGCTGATAAAAAAAAATTCTAAAATTCCCAGCATCCTTCTTTCATGCACATGTGTAGTCCTACCAACATAACAAATTTAGTCTGATAAAGTCCTGAAGGATGAAACGCCTCACAAGTAAACATTTTCCACTTTGTTATATATACGATATCCTCAGGTGATTTTTATCAACTAAGCTCCCAATGCTTTATTTTTAAAAAACTAATGAACGCTATCTTATTTTTAAAAAATAAATAAATATATAGTGTTGGGTGTGATAGAAAGGGAGGAGAAGGATGTGAAGAAGGAAGGAGGAGAAGAAAAGCAAGAGTATTATATATGTATCAGTCAGAGGTGGGGGTAATTGAAATGTCTATATTTTTTTTTATCCAGCCTCATATGAGCTTAAGAGGAATTTTTTAGTGTGTATGCAAGGACTCATGACTATGGTATTCCCGTTCAAAAGGTTCTTTTGATCTGTTAATGTCATATAAATAAAGAATTAATGGATTTTATTTTTTAATCCAACATATTTTTATTATTTTAAATTTTATTTTTAGTGAATATAAAAACTCTCACACATGGCTCCACAAAGTCACATGGGCACTGTGACAACCACACCCCAGTCGATGTCATCGACCTGCTGGCTACACTGTGTGAGTTGGAAGGGTTTCCCAACCAAACCAGTGAAATGGAACTCCTCTCCTTAAACCACCTGTGCCAAGCAGCCATCTTCCAGCTTGGGCGTAGGAGCTGTGCTTCAGAGATCAACAACTTTACCAGTGAGTAGAGGAACCTTTGAAAGGAGAGATAAGGGATAATCTCAACATCCCTGGTGCAAAAGGAACTGGCAAGTCATAACACTATTTTACCTTAAATGTGTGACCATGAACAACAGTTACAACAGAAATAGGGGAGTAGTAACCACTGCAGCACAAAATACACTACTTGAATAAATAAATGAATGAATACAAATAGAATTATGTTAAGACATTTTTTATATTTATACGTTCTTTTTTATAGATACAAATATTTAAGTAAATGCTCTGTTTATAATAAACAGTATTAACAACATTTACCAGCTTGAATGTCCGAGAAATTTTTATAATAAATATGTGTCCTCTGACAGGAATTGAACCTGTATCTATAAAAAACAATGAATAAACATAAAAAAATGTCTTAAAATAATTTTCGGGCTTTGTCCATTTCATAATATGTGACATCATTTGTTTACATTTGGATACGCATCAAGCAGATATGGATGTATGAGAGAAAATCATGGAGAATTGTAGTTTAAAAACAGTAAAATTGACCTTGCTAACCGAAACATCAGGCTATATAACAGTTCCGTATAGGATACAAGTTCGATTTCTGTCAGAGGACACATATTTTCTATGAAAATTTCTCAAACATTCAGGCTGGTAAATGTTGTTAATACTGTTTATTATAGACAGAACATTTACTTAAATATTTGTATCTATAAAAAAGTATGTATTAACATAAAAAATGTCTTAAAATAATTGTCGGACTTTATCCATTTCATAAATAGAATTATGTTGTTTGTGTCATGTGGTTCACTGGGACTAAGAAGTCATACAGAGAAAAAACAAGATATGTCTTTTCTCTATCACATCTTGTGGTTGAAGATCAAATTAAAGAGAAAAGAGTGGGCCCTTTCTTTTTATACTGTGTTATATAACACCACCTAGTGGATATTACAAGAAGTCCCCTGGCAAACAAGGTGGGGTAATCCTGCATTAAAATTCAAACTTTCGTATTGCAGAAGTCATTGATTGGGGCTACCACTAATTAGCATATGTGTATAAGCAGACATTATGTATTGGCTCACTATGTAAGGTAGTGGCAATGGTACTTGTCCTGTTAGTACCATTGACATCTCTCAGTTGCTTCTCTGTCTTTGGACAGAGCACAACTGAAAAAATATTGAGAGGTACCCGGTCCCAAGGAAAAGCTGCCTGATGCAGTACCTGTTCATTGCAATAAAGAGGTGGGGGGTCAGTAGTAATACTGATGCCAGTACAACCGATGGTTGTGGGAGCCGGGCAATTTTTAATCCCTGGCCTGGGTGTACATGCTCAGGTGCCCCACATGAACTGACCTTGTATCACATCTTGTCATCGTAGGAAGACAAGTAAATACCATGGTATGTGTCATGCTCATACTGTTAACATTTCTCAGTTGTGTCTCTGTCTTCAGGAAGAACACAGCTTAAAAATATTCAGAGGTGCCTTAATCCTGGGGAACAGCTGCCAAGGCCATACCCCCTTATTGCTTTAAAGAGGGGGGATTGATAGTAATACCAAAGCCAGCACAACCAATGGTTGTAGGGCTGGACAATTTTTGGTCCTGGCCTGAGTACACACACTCAAGCTCCCCACATTAAACCAACCTTGTGTCACATTCCATCACAGTGTGTATGTGTGTGTGTGTGGGGGGATGAGTAAATAAAAATACTCGGACCTTAATGGTACTTGTACTGTTGCCAGTAGTACGAGCAATATATTGTATGACTGACTGGCAGAGGAGTTCGCTCCTCTCCCTGTATTATTAGGTCAAGCCCTGAGGAGGGAGAATCCCTCCAGGCAGTACCACTTCTTTTTTATTGCACAGCACCTGAGGTTTATTAGGGTTTTATTGCACAGCACCTGAGGTGTCCCCAAAATGGGGAAGTGCCAAGGTGGCATGAGACTTTTTCACTGTATTGCTTTGTTGCAGGCTGGTGTATGCATTTAGAGATAAACACATGTGTCTCCTGAAATGCCCACAACCAACATGGAGGACTCAGGATGTGAGTCCACGTAAAGTAATGTAAAGAAACAACAAGAACTAATAAATATGTACAAACAAATGATAATGTATTAATAGCAAATGGTTACAAGTGACAAAGACAATAATGTGTTTAACAAATGAATGTGGAAGCTTTTTGGGTGTGAAGTATGTGTAGTGAGTGAATGTGCGTACATACATGTGTGTGTGTATGTATTGTTTATGTGTTTCCCAAAAGAGAACGCATTATAATCACATTCTTCTGCAAGAAATTTATATATTGATGTAAAATATAAGAGAGTGATAAAAAACATATCACAAGAATTTATACTGCTGGAGAGTGTCCCCTTGGAGCAGTTTTGAAAATTAGGAGGAGGTAACCCAACAGCTTATAAACCTGTATAAAACTCAACCTTTGTGTCACATTGCATTGTGGACACTTGGACTCTAAAACCAATACTGACTGCATACAACCGCAATCCATACTTGGAATATTATAACACATATATTTAAATGCAACATCAATTGTCATCTTCTGCCTCCTTGAATTTTGTTATTTTTATTGTTCTTTCTCCTCAGTAACATTTTCTTAGTGTCTTTCACTCTCAGTGTCTTAGTGGCTTTACCACTTTGATTGGGGTAAAATGATTTTAAAAAATGACCTGGAACAAAATACAATTTTACTTAAATTTTTATTCTGTAATAGAAAAAATTCCTATAACACTAACCCTTAACCTTAACCTTTTATCCTTCGCTTAACCCTTAACCTTTTATCCTTCACTTAACCCTTAACCTTTATCCTTCACTAGAACCCAATGTATCTGTATCTTTTTATATTTTCTAACAAATATTGAAAAACCTATAAATGGCATGTGGCAAAATGCTAGTTTATTAAAAAAAAAAATGACAAAAACAGACTTACTTTAATGTAAAGAAAAAGAGATGAACATTTAAGCTTGAAGCTTTATTCAGTGCAATTTGACTATTGCCCATAAGTGAGGTGTGGCCATTTCTTTTATAGTCATGTAGTTCAAGGGGGAGACAACTATGATTGTCTTCCACCACAATTAATAATGTTTAAAAAAAACTATACCTTATAAAAGCTAAACAACACTGTCAAGCATTGTCTTCATCAACATATATTTTTAATTTAAAATAAGTTGAAAATTTTAGCTTTTATGCACTTTAATAACCACAGTTATCAATTTTTATTAAATGGATGACATCTTTTTAATTTCAAATTTAATTTCCAATCACTATAATGATAATTTTGCAGTTATTTAAGCATTCCTATTTTTACTGAAGTTAAAAATGTTCATTTCTCATTTATTTTCTCTTATTTTAAAAGTAAAGAAAACCAAATTAAAAAATTTTTTATGCTTTCGTGTTTATTTTTATCTATTTAATTTATTCTATGTATTTTCAATTTTAAGTTTGATCATAAGAGAAAAAATTGTCCCCTGACAAAATACTTGTGAAATCCAATGTGTTTGGCGTAAAATCATCAAATTGTGTGACGCCATGAAATTGTCTGACTTTCTGCTTCAGTTATCTCCCTTTGGTGCGCATCGGCCATATTGTTTTTCTTTAATCAACATTAGATTGTGTTCTCTTAAAAGAAAAAGGCTTACCAAAGAATCAACTCATTTAATTGTTTATTTCTCGAGTCACAATTAATCGTAAGTATATATGTAAATAAATCCCTTCGTAACTCGATATCAATATCGAATGCCTTTATGTATTTCTTCATTTTGGGACGAGAAACTTTTTTTAACGGATCTCTCTTTGCTACTAAACTAAATCTTTTTTTTTTTTTTTTTGTTAAATGATGTTCTTTAAAAAAAAGTCATCAGATATATTTTTAACATTTCTGTGAGTGTTGTCGTTGTAATTTCGCGTAGATATTCAGAGCTACTGTTTGAACTAATGTCTTCTACTTGTTTTAACTTCAGCATTTTTTGTTTTGTTTTCACAACATAATCGACAATGTTACCATGTTAGATTAAAAAAAAATCTATGGATGACCAGTGGAATAATAATTCCTTGAAATTTATTTTTATTTCTTATGCTATGATTTACACTTATCGTTACTGCTAGTGTTATTTGTTTATTTATTTTTACATACTTTATTATATTTTCTATCTCTAAAATCAATACATATCTTATAAATATTTACATTTTTCAATTAACCGTTAAAAAAACGTGTTTAGAAGGGTGAAGTTATCACTTTTAGTTTTTTATTCGAATATAGTTTTAGTTAAAATATTGCTTAACTACTTTTATTTGTGCACTTAGTCATAATTTACCCGTACTAGTTTAATAAAAAGGAGAAAAAAAGAAAAAATTATAACGCTCTTGATCATCCATACCATAAAAAAAAAAACTGCTGAATGAACCGGTCGGGTAAAATTAAAAAGCTTTGTCGTCATCAGATTAGGAAAAAATTATGTTGGAGGGACCTTTTTCTTTTAAGGAAAGTGTCAATTTTTTTTTGTTCTTTTAAAATATCTCATTTGAAAAGTTTATAAAAAAAATAAATCAATAGTTTTAGATTTCAAATAAATGTGTAAAAAAGTAAACATTAAAATCTAAACAACGAAATTCACAAACCAACACATTTTTTCCAACTTATTTCAACAATTTAAAAGTAAAACATTGTGTTCTAATAAAATTAAAGAAAAAAAAATCAGTTAAAATGTTTGTTTGTTGGGGAGAAAATTGAACATTTATTCCCTAAATAAAACCTGCAAGAATGTTTCGGTTTTTATGTAAAAAAAGAAACATCTTTCGACAAAGACGTCCGTACGTAATGATGTGAAATGTCCATTTTATTATTGTTCATTTATTTTAGTTTTTTTATGGGTGTATAAACTTGACAAGGATTTTTAATCTTTAATAATTTATATATGATATATTTTAATTGTAAAAAAAAAAAAAAAACTTAGTAAAAATTTCGAAGAGTTCAATAATGCATCGATAACAATAACATTGTCTTTGAAATCAGCTCTCATCCTTGGAAATCATATTTTCTGCAAGTCAACATTCCAAGCCAATTCTCGACATATAAAAAAATAAACAATTTCACTTTTTTTTTTCTTTTTTTAAAAAAAAAAAAAAAAAAGAAAACACGATTTCTTTTAGAATCGATTTGTTTTTTAAAAATAATTTACAGAAAGAATTGTTAAAAGTCAATTTATAATTTGTGATTGATAATCGTTGTTTAAATTAAGTTTTCGCATTTAATGATACAGGGTAACATTCATATTTACAAAATAAAAATGTAGCTGTGTTTGGTGAATTGCTCTGCATCAAGTATTGTTAACCATTTTTAATGAATTTGATTTTGAATTTAAAGACTCTAAGTCTACAACAATTGCATCAAAGTTGTAAAACTCTATAAAAAAAAAAAACAACCTTGGTTTATTCATTCAGCAAAGAAAGATAATCAACTTTAAAAATGACTGTTTTCAATTACAATCTTGACTCTACTACAGTATTTCCCATTATAATTTATTTGGAATGCAAACTTTTTTTTATTATTATGTGTTAAGAAATAGAATGTTTTCTTTTCTGCTTTTTATTTTTCTATTTTTAAGAAAATTTTTTGAGAATGGTTAAATATTTTATTACTTTTCACCGTTTATGTTTACTAAGTTATATTTCCAACAAGTGTGAAGGTAGTTTTTACTAAAATATCTAAAGAGAATAGTAGTGTAAACAAACACACTGTGTTGTTTATGTGGCTTACTTCAGCAGATAATTAGCTCTTAATGTATTTATAATAGCCAAAACTCCATTGCAACAGCCAAATAAAGACTAATTCAATAAAATCTTAATTTAGTATGGAAGAAAAGGAAATTGAACATGGAGTCAGTTTTGCCCAACAATGCAAATCAATACAAAGCCAAAACATCGACCTGGAAACTAGAGTTTTGTTCTTAAATAGCCTTGTCAGATAAAAACTTTCATATGGATGTCAAACCTGTTCAGAAATATCTAAACCATCAGCTGTATACAACCACAATGGTGTAAAAAGGCTTGGAGTGTGTAAAGCCTGAAGGTCTTTGCAAAGATCATCCCTCTTTAAACATTGTGGACTAGCATTACTGTTGTGTAGGAAACCTACCACCCCTCTTGAAGATGAACTTGTCTACAAACAAAGACGTTAAATAGTGGCATGTCAAAAGACAGACAGAGTCGGAGAAATTCTTGGCTGAGCTAGTTATAGACTACTCGGGCGATTTCTGAACCTACTTACCAACTGAATAAACCCCTTTTTATTGTTACGTGTTATTTGGCGTTTGTCTTATTAACCCCAAATCAACATCATAACAATTACAGAATCACAAGTAAAGAACTACACAAAATAGCAGAAACCATATCACTTGAGGACTACCAACAGCAGCAACAACTAAAATAGACAGCACATCTAACTTGAAGAGAAAATAATTTATAATCAAGATGTTGATATTCCACACAACTTCAAACAAAAGATTGGGAAAGAAGCACACATTAATACTGGAAAGAGTAATAACAACTACTGCACTTGAAAAACATGTTTTCCTGAAAAATTGTTTTAAGTGAAAGATTTTTATAAATTTTAACTGAAAACAGTACTGGCTGCTTGGTCAATGAATGCCAAATGTTTCCTTATAGGGAAATGGCAAATTATTACCATTAATAATGCATATTGACTGTGAATGTCAGATATGAAAAATCTGATTGGTGCTAATGGTTTGCTTCCAAGATGTACACACTACTAGATTTAGTGTCTCTCTTTTTTCTTTTCTTTTTTTTTGTACAGATTTGTTACTGATTTTGTCCATCAACAAATTCTGTTACATAATATAGAAACTTGTTGTCATCTTGTTTTTATTGTGCAGTCAGTCACCTTTCTAAAAGCTCTAAGAATTGAACACTTAAAGGTGAAGTGAAATTGCATTTTCTCTCTCTCTCTCTCTCTTTCACACACAAAGCCAGGGTGCCAAGTGGGTTCATCATTCTTGGACAAAGTTTATTTCATATGTCTGAAACATCGCAGTTGGTAGTTAGATTTTCTTTTGCACCATTAATCACCTGGGGTGGTAGCACCTGTTAGCTATGGGTCAACCCCAAAACAAAAATCAACAGTATATTTTTATAGTAAAACTACTAACAATACATTTTATGATCTACTAAATATATCTCTAAAAAACATATTTTTATTCAGAAAGTATAAAATTGTGTAGAAATTATCTAGTTGAAAGCATAAAATTATGTCCAAAATATTATTTCTGCATGAATCAACCAACCAAATATATCATTAATCATGCTGCACTTTGATTATTTCAATAAAAGAAAATACACACTCTGGAGTCAGATGGTTATGGTTTGAGATCAGGTGGAGATGGGAAGAATTTAATGCAAGATTATTTTCAACTGTCCAAAGCATTTACTGAGTTTTCCTTGTATCATCAAAATGTGAATCTATTGATTTGTCTTACCAATTAGGTGTCAGAGTTTCCCATGCTATCGAAGGATAAATACTTTCAAAATTTGCCCATTGATTTCATCTTGTGATTTACTTGTTCATGAAGATTATGACCACATCACATCAAAACATTGGCTCCTGTACGATCATCAAAGTTAAGCAACATAAAGCCTGGTCAGTACCTAGCTTGGTAATACCAGGTACTGTAACCTTGGAGTTGCAGGTTGTGTAATGGATAATGGCTCAGAATTGTTAATTGGAGAGCCAAGTTCTAATTTCAATTGTGTTTGTTATATTTACTTGAAAAAAATGCCCTAGGGAAAGGTATGAATCTATTTCACCTCCCCCAGCTATGGGTTAATTAGTAAGAATTGTATCACTAAGTCGTTATCACCAAAAAAAAAAATTCTTACAGTCTAAAAATATTTTCTGGTTTTAAGGGTTGACAACTCATAAGAAACCAAACAACCAACAACAAAAATTACTTATATTAATCTTTTAATTTTTAGGAAAGAATGCATTATTTTTTAAAAAATTTTTCTTGGCTTCATTGAAAAAAGTAGGATGACTTTTTTACATTTTTTTTATTTGTCAGGTTTATTAAAATAATGTGCCGTTTTCTAGTTTTTGTTTTGTAATTGAAATTCCTTTATTTAAGCTGGAGATTATTTCAGTCAAACTTTTCTCACTTTACAAAAATTGATGTTGTTTAATTTAGAATCTTTGTCTTTTGTTTTGCAAACCAATTCAGTTCTTGCAGTAAAAGCTTTTCTATGGCAGAAACATTAATTTTTATTTGTTTGCATTTTGATATGATCTGTTTTCAGGTATTTTTTTGTTTTTGTCTTTGTTTTCAGTTTCCGGTATGTGTGCTCTTCCCGCTGCCCCTCCGGGGAAGAGAAAGGAAATCTATAAATATGAAGCACCATGGACCGTGTATGGAATGAACTGGAGCATCCGGCCAGACAAACGTTTTCGATTGGCTCTTGGCAGTTTTATGGAAGAATACAACAATAAAGTACGCTTTGATATTTAGCATTTCAATCATTTCAATCTTGCCTTTTTCATCAGTGTGGAGTTTTGTATGAAAATAAGATTTACCTCAATTAATGTCTCCCTAATCAATATCTTATTTATAGATTTATTGATTGTGAACTTCCAATTCAGTCACATTACATATAAATCAATGGTTCCCAACCGATTTTGGGCCATGCTCCACTTTGGTATTTCTAAAATTCTGGTGCACCTCTGTAATATTTAATTCTTACATATTCAAAAATTTTACTGCAATTCATATGAAGGAAACTTAAAAGGCCATTAACTTGGTCTCTAAATAAGCCTCCAAAGACCATGGCATCCATGAAAGAGAAAAATTAAAAAAACTAAAAGAAAGTAAAATATATATATATATATATATATATATATATATATAGTTTCAAAACATATGAGAGAGAACTGAAAGGCAGAAATATAAAATATTTGTATGAAAGCTTATTCTGTAATATACTTTAATCATTTTAATCATGAAATAATAATGTAAAATGAAATTTGAGCTCCTGTTGGTATAGTAAGCCGAAGGGTGCACATCTTGCGCATACCCCACCAAAATATTACCATGCCCCATCAGTGGGCCATAAGCCCCACATTGGGAATCATTGATAAAGATAAAGGACTGTTTATGGAAGTATCTCAAAAAGCCAACATGTTCAGGGCATTAAAAATAAATAAAATCATCTTAGAATTTTTGATGAAGACTTTTTATTCTTCAACAAATTAGAATTTTTTTTTTTTTTTTGTGTTTTAATTGGTAAAGTTTTCAGAAAATGCTGATTTCTAAGATTGACCTCCAATGTAATTAAGTCTTTAGGAATCGATGAAATCAAAAAAGGGAAGTCGAATTGAAGTTCAATATTAAGAGAAGAACTTGATGAGAATCTTCTACTTTCTTAATTATCTCCCTTGACAAGGGTGCATTGAATAAGAAAATTTTGTTAATAAGGAAATCATTTTATTCAAATACTTTCTTGATTAGAAATAATTGCCAAATTATTTCTGAAATTCTTCAATTTTTATAAGTCTTGTCAGAATGTATATTTACACCTTTTGTTTTGTTTTTTTTCTAATATTTTAATGACTTGTTTTCTATTTGTGCCTTTGTATGTCTCTTCTTGTAGGTGCAGATTGTATCATTGGATGAAGAAACGTCCGAGTTCACTTCCAGAAGCACCTTTGATCATCCGTACCCAACCACAAAAATCATGTGGATTCCAGATGCTGTGAGTTACCAGCTTTATCTTTAGTACTTTTTGCTTTCCTCACAACATGTTTTTTCTATATTAACATATCTTGCTCTGTATTTAAGGGGTGTGCCACTGTAAGCATTTGACACACGAGAGAGGAGTTTCAGCTATGACAGTCCAAAGAGCAGTGAAAAAACACTTGAAAATGAAATTCTACGTGAAACCTGTGAGGCACCTTGTTACTCCAGGATAGAAAGTTAGAAGGTTAGAGTGGATGACTATCATCTGGAATAATGTGTGTATATATATATATATATATATATATATATATATATATATATATATTTAAACTTTATTTCAATACTTCATGAACTTCTGATCCGTAGCTATCATTAATTAATGATGAACATGTTTATGATTGATTTCATCACAATTCTTCTGTTAAGCTTGGATAGTAATTATACAGTCTTATTGCTCAAAGTAGAGCCAAATAGTGCTATAAAAACCTCAGAGAATTCTGGTAAGATATCTTTAATCATTTCTAAGATACAACAGTTCAAAGCTTAATCTAACAATTGGGCAATTTTGCTGTTACACCCAGTATATACGAGATAACAATATATATTTTTATATCTCAAGAACAATATTATGCATTTCATCCTTCAGGACTTCATCAGACTAAATTTGTTATGTTGGTACAACTACACATGAGCACAAATAAAGGAATGCTGGGAATTTTTTTTTTTTTTTTTTTTTTTATATATCTAGCTGGATTCATTTTGAGTCTTTTTCTTTCTATCACTTTTGTTAATAAGTATCCCACACTGTGATAATAGAAGTTCTCCCAGTAATGGTGAAATGTTGTAAGAGCCTGGACACAAATTTACTTTAGTTAACTGTGTGATCAAGGCACTCTTTAGACATTAATATCATAGAAAATTATTTCTCCTTTGATCAGAGTAGCATTTTTTATGTCAAAATTGTGGTCAGTCTCATTATGGTGGGCAACCAACGCATTTGATATATTATTTTGTAAAATGTCTCTTTTGTGTTCATATAATCTTTTATTTAGATTCCTTGAGGTTTCTCCTATGTATTTTTTGTGACAATTATTACAGGCAATGGAGTAAACTCCTCCTTCAGGTTTTAGCTTATTGTTTTGTTTAGTATTGACTAAGTCTTTTATTGTTTTGGATGTAGTAGTAACAAATTTTATGTTGAGTTTAGATAGATTCTTTTTGATTGTAGATGTGATAGACTCAGTAGGCAGGATAATATTTTTTTTTGATTCATTGGGTTTCTCAAGAGGGGCCTTTTTTTTGTTTTGGAATATTTTATGGGCCTTTTATTTTGCATTGAACATAGAATAATTAGGGTTCTGGAGAAGTTTGAAAGTGTTTTCAATGTATTTCGCCTCTTTGTGTAAATAATCCGAACTGCATATTCTTAATGCTCTTAAGTAGAATCCAATGATTATGCCAGATTTTTTGTTGTTGTTATGATGAGAATAATAATAATAATATATTAGGTCATTTTTGGGGGTTTGATTTCCAGTGGACATTGTGTTTTAAACTGTTGTTAACATGATGGAACTTGATATCTAGGAAGTGTAAGGAATTGTGTTCTTCAATTTTGTATGTAAATTCTATTGTGTGTTCAACAGTGTTTAGTAGATTTACTAAGTCAGGTAAATCAGTATCACGAAGATATATAAGTAGAGCATCATGAGTATAATGTTGTTTGGGTGAAATATTTTGGAAAGGACTGGATTCAACAAAATTCTAAGATACATGCCATCATTTCATTGGTAAGCCAAATTTTTGTTCATAAAAATCATTATTAAATGTGAAGTAGCATTGATTGGTGATGAGATGGGAGATTTTTATTATTTTAGCTGTTGGTAGAGAGAGCTTTATCTTTTAATTGTATTAGATGCTTTTTTTTTTCTTTTCTTTTTTCTTAGGAGATTTAGGTATTTTTCAACTGGGACTTTGGTGTAAAGGGATATCTAGACTGGCCATGTTACATCATGTGTGTGTGTGTGTGTATATATAGGGGTATATATATATATATATATATATATATATCTCAATGAAACATTTTTTTAGTGGATACCTGTATTTGAGTTGGCACTGTTTTTTAAATGGTGTTCATTTCATCTACCAGTCTGTGCACTCGAGAAAATTTTTTTTGCAGGAGAAACTACCATCTGATCCCACATGCTTTGACCATTTGGCTATGGATAGCGTCATTGTCAAGCAAGGTTCTATTTGTCTTCATGCATATTGTCATTCAGATTTTCTTGAAATTTTTAGATTTCTATCTGAAATTTCTAAAGAATTAATGGATTTTTTTTTTCAAATTTGACATTTTTATTATTTCAAACATTATTTTTAGTGGATACCCATATTGGAGTAGACACTGCTTTTTTTTTTAAACATCTAGCTATGTGTTAAATAGTAGAAGTTGCATCTGGGAAAATTGTTATTGTTCTCATAAAATAAGTGCAATATTAACATGGGAAAAAAAATTATTAATACAATGCAAAATATGTTTTGGCTTTAGATAAGCCACAGAGGATTTAATAAGACGTAAAAAAAATATCAGTCAACCAATTGGGAAACTCGCCCTGTGTTCTTGGATGGTGTTTATGATGGCTTTATCTATGGAAAAAAAAATGAACCTCATCTGATGGGCAAATTCAAATTTCAAAGAAATAGCATTTTTTTTGTTTTTCTTTTTTTTATGGATTATACACCTGACAAAAAAGGGATCAGCCAAAATGTAGCGCCATCAAGAATACAAAAATAGAATGCAATTATTGGAACCTTTTCTTTGAAGTCCTTGTTTGCTTGTATTATCTTTAGATTGCTTAAAGCTTCTCACTTGTCACTGCCTAACTTTGTTCTTCTCATATAGAAAGGTGTATTTCCTGACTTGTTAGCCACCAGTGGAGACTATTTGAGAGTTTGGCGTGTTGGAGAAAATGACACCAGATTGGAATGCCTTTTAAACAATGTAAGTTTCTTTTTCTTTAACATTATGACATTCATTGATTCTTATTTCTTTTTTTTTTTTTTTACTTGTCATTTTTAGAATCTGACACGTTTCTTTTTTATAACTTTGAGCTTTGAACATAAAAAAACCCCAAAAAAAACCTTTTCCGTGGATTTTAATATTGCTATTTGCCAAACTGCTCCTCACCCCCCAACAAAAAAGTCCCCTGCTGCCTCTTCTTTTAAACTGGTTTTTCTACTCTCCTTTATGTCTGTTTCCACATTTTGATGGCATGAAAAATAAGAGATACAGTAATTTTGTCTTGAATTGCATAATTGCCATAAACATTTCCAGAGAATATAATGTTGACTGTTTGTGATTTTTCAGAATAAAAACTCTGACTTTTGTGCGCCTCTCACATCATTTGATTGGAATGAGATTGATCCAAATCTGTTAGGAACGTCAAGTATTGACACCACGTGTACAATATGGGGACTTGAGGTAAGAAAACAAACACTCTCACTTTTATAAAGTTCTATTTCTTTACTTCATCACTCTCATATTTCATTGTCTTTATTTTCGTCCAATGAAAACTGCTTGCTGCTGCTTTTTATTTAAGTGACTCCAAATAAGGAAATGTTTGGGAACCACACAGACCTTGTCTTGTCTTTCAATAAAGCTTTTCTTTAATCTTGTTTTTTACATGCGCAACAACAAAATATTAAATTGTATTTGCTTTCATATAAGGACTAAGCTCACCACTTTAAAACCCCCAAAAGACATTCATTGGTTGTATTGATCTCCAAATAAATTTGATAATTATTTCTGAAAGTTCTTACTTAAACGTTTGTATTTCTTTCTTTTTAGACGGGTCAGTTATTATGTCGTGTCAATTTAGTTTCTGGTCATGTAAAGACACAACTAATTGCTCATGACAAAGAAGTCTATGACATTGCTTTCAGTCGAGCTGGGGGCGGAAGAGACATGTTTGCCAGTGTTGGTGAGTTCCTCTGCTTTCTTATATTTCTTTGCTGAAAACTTCAGCAACAATTAATTTTTTTCTTGAAGGGAGAATCTCTTGAGTTTATTAATTGAGGTTTTGTTTTTTTTTGCTTTTTTTACTCAAAAGTCAGTTATTATTAATTGTAATTAAAACAAGGCATTAATTAATGATAGCAGTTTTTAAAAAAATTCTTATAAGCTTCAGTAACCTTATTTCTTACAAATTTGTTTATTTACCAAGGTCTGCAATGGATATCTTAATCCCTTTACTGCCATTAGCTTTTAGTAGTCAAGGTTATGGAATAAACCAGTGATTCTCAACTACTGTGCCATGGCACACTGGTGTGCAATATTGTCACGGCATATATATATGCTTGTTTCATTAAAAATGACAGACAAGGAATATATATATGAGTTAATAACTTCAAACTTGTAAAAAAGATAAAAAATAATGGAAGAACAAATAATAATCGTCTAAAAAAGCCATTTTTTTAACAATATTAACTATGGTTTGCAGTTAAATGTGCTGTGTTTGGAAAATTAAAAACCTCCTTAACACATAAAAAACATACATAAACACACGTCAATTAAACTGAAAAATAAAATTTTCCTTGTGGTATTTTTCAAAACTTTGAAATTATAGAAAATTTGGATGGACAATTAAACTCTGTGTCCAAAAAGAAAGCACTTGTATAGCAACAATAAAAATTAAATAAAAAGCTTACCTTTTTGTTGTTTTTTAATGAAACATGTATGATAAAGGATTGATTACCTAATCCTACAGAACAGTGAACAAACACACACACACACACACACACACACAGACGTAAGTTAAAAATATTGACCAATTACTGTAGCCTTAAATAAATTGTTGCTGTTTTAACAAATCTGAATATTTAAATTATTTAAGTATGGTTAGAATTGATAAAATTTACCTTTCAAAAGCAAAAATTATATAATTTCACCTGTCAGTGTTTGTGAATAGATAGAATTTTTTTCTCTGATATTTTAGAATGAAAAATTTTAAAATGAAAATTTAAAATTTTGGATTTAAAAATTCTTATTGCAATAATCATTTAAAAGGAATGATTTAAACTTATTTTAATTAGTTTTATTTTAACTATATGTCTTGCTTTTTTCTTTATCATAAACTATTTTAAAATGTTTAAAACAAAAAAAAAAAAAGAAAAAGGTTTTTGTCTGAATTTATTTTCTTTTGAATTCATCTCAAATTAAGGACATTGATATTTTTTTTTTCTCATTTAATGTTCTCAATGATAAATTCTCAAAAGAATAGATCTTTTCTTTCTTTTTTTTTTTTTTTTTTTTTTTTATAGGATCATTGTCAGAAAGAGGAGGAGTACCTATTTTATTTTTTGATTAGTCTCTTGTTTTGAAATCAATAAATATTTGATGCCAAAGCATTACATTTTTATGTTCACTTTTTTTTTTTTTTTTACAAAAGAAATGACTTCTGAGCTCTGCTTTTTTGCCTACAGCTTTTCAGCTTGTCTTTATTGATTTAAATAATTGGGAATATTTTGCATTTTTTATAATTATTGCTTCTTCTCAATTTGTGGGTATGTACACACAATGATTGTTATCTATTGTTTTATAAGTAATGATTTCTTGTTTTTTACATTAGCTTTTGTGCTGTATTATAGATTTGGTTCAGTGAAGATAAATACAACCTTAAATTAATATGTGAATAAAATCTATTTTCATTAGAAAGGGAGATGGTTCATTATAGCCTAAATTAATTACTCTAGTGCATTGAAAAATTCCATAACATTTTTATTTACATCATGATTGGCTATAAAATTACAAGATAATTGTAATGGAAGATTTTTTGAACTGCACAATTCATTTTTATTTCTTCTTGCAACAACTGATAGTTGCTAAAAGTTTCTTGCTGTCATTATCTTAAGATTACTCATAGAATTATCTTCAGAATTACTTTGTTTTTTATTTGAGCTTTCTTATTTGATACATACACCCTAATTTTTTTCATTGCTTCTTGGCTTTAGGTTTCTCTTAAAGAAACAAGTTGATGGCAAGAGGTGAACTTCTATGAAAATCTATGCATCAATTTTAACCTTGTATATTTTCCAAGTTACTTTTATTTTAATGCATTGATATGTCAAGTGTTTTTTCTAAATGCTTTAAATTTGCTTTTTACTCAATTAGAAATTTATAAATAAAATAAAAGAAATTGTCAAAATCATTTCTCATATATTCATAGGCTTTTTAAAAAATGATTTACAAAGATCAATATTTTTCTATCAAATGAAAGCAGATATAAAATGAATTTTCTAAATATTTGCTATGCTAAAGAATATGATAAATGGTGTTGCAGCTAATGCCAGGAAGATGTAAAACTGAATTCTATTTTTATTCTTTTTAAATTTTTTCTATAAACTGAGTTGTCAATATGGCAGTAAAAGAGTTTTAGCTAGTAAGCACTTACTCCATTTTCTGTGTTCATATGCCATCTTTGTTGTAGACATAGTGCTGAGCATATTAACCTTTCCATCTCATTGTGTTAGCTTTCTCTACAAAATGTGAACAAATGGTCTTAAAGCAAACACTGAGACAAAAAAGAACATTTGCTGAACACAGATGCTAACATGGTAGTGCCAATGTCAAGAGACCTCTTTTGGGCTAGACTTGTGCAAATATTATTTTGGTAACTTGCTTCTAATGCAGAATGTCATGATTGATTATGATAATCACAATGGTTCCTATGAGTATTATAAGTTAAACATCATTTCTATTCAACCAAGTCCTACAATCTTTTTATGCAGCTCTAAAAATGTATCCTGCACCAAGGGTGTATTCTTAGGTTAAAATTGTTTATTTAAAAAAAATAAAATAAAATGTCCACAAATGAGTAATACTCTTTATTGCACTTGAGTGCATGAATTATAGATTCCAGACTTTGGCTTTTGAGCATGTCACAGCTTCTTAAATGAAGAAAACAGGAAAGGAAGAAGAAAAAGAAAAAATGGAAGCAAAAAAAAAAATGCATGAAATTGGGGAAAATTTGAAGGCTGTATCAGTTTCTCAAAGCTTTTCATATCTTGCAATGTATTGATTCTTCTTCAGTTCTTTTTGACAGAACAAATATTATTTGATGTTGGTTTTTATTACTTTTTTTTTATATCTAATAAATAATAATTAAAAAAAAAACTGATTCTTTGCTTATTTTTCCTTTAAAAATGCTTTTATACAACTCTATTAATGCAGAAAATAAGCAAATAATGTTTGACAGAAAACCTAAGCTCTGAATAACAGATTAAAAACAATCTTCCTCATTTGTATAGTTTTTTCTTCAAAATTTACAACCACTACAGTGAACCATCACTATTGTTGTATCCTCTTTTACTCTAGTAATGACTTTCCATTGAGTATACTCTAAGTGCTGTAATTTGCATTTTGTTGAAGGATTATTTCTGCAGCTATCAATATTTGCAAATGCTTTGAATAAAACTTGTATAGTTATTTATAATCAGCTGAAATGAGTGCTTTGAAGACTCTTACATATAGATTAAGAATTGATTACAATTTGGTTTTGTCCTTTTATGAGGGAAGCAGAATATAACTGTATGCAGTTATAATAATAATAATGATCTGTTGTTGAGATAAGGAGCTTAATAACATACTATTTTAAACCTTTGGATCACTGGTATTCATGGATTTTATTTGCGTATGTTTCATACATGTAAACTGCATTCAGAATAATTTTAAATTGACTTGGGAATACCAGGTGCTGTAAGTTTAGATGTGCAGGTTGTGTAATGGATAATGGCTTGAAATTGTTAATCAAAGAGCCAAGTTCTATTTCCAGTTGGATGAGTCCTTCCCTTCACCTCCCAGCTATGGGTTAATTAATAAGACTTGTATCAGTAAATCATTATCTGAAAAAAAATTCTTAATTTAAAAAAATTTTTTCTGGCTTTAAATAAGCTGCAATGGGTTGATAAGATGTAGAAAACAATTCAATCAGTTAAATAATTTTAAATTTCTAATAAGTTGAACTTTTAATAAAATTTCATATTAAAAAAGCATTTCATGTTGCTCTCCTTGTGGTGGTGGGGAGTAGCATTGGCCATACTGCTGGAAAGGAAAAAAAAATGGTTCTTTAAGATGATTAATAGAAAGCAGTTTTGTTTTAGAGGTGTAAAAATTAATGAGCCACTTCTTGCCTCACTTAACAGATTGTAGGTCATTTTTGAGATTAGACTTACTGTTGAGATGACAATAAATAGTTGTTATCAGCATAGATACCGAGTTGGGAACTGATGACATTAGAAAGGACATTGATGAAAATAAGCAACAGTACATCCAAGAATATAGCACCAGGGGATGCCTGCATTAATGTCAAATGATCTATTAATGAACATAATATCTTTTCTTAAGTGTTTTTATTTTTATTTTAGTCTCTTGGACTTTTATAGTTTTTAAAAGAACATAAGGTAAAAAATTCTATAGTTTAACAGGACTTAAGTATAATATATTGAAAATATTCTTAGAAAAGAAAAAAAGAGGATCAGAAAATATATATTCCAAAATTTGCTTGAAGATGAAAAAATATTTTTAATGTTGTTTTAAAATTTTTTTTAACTATGCATATATATATATAAAAAATGCATTATATATATATAAATATTTTTATTATAAGAAATTATAATAAAAACATTTTAAATCGCTATACAAAAGCTTTCATGTTTCAATACTATGACTGTACTTTCCCAGATGATGAAGCTTTAATTAGCGTGATACATATTAGATTGATAAACGATTCTTATTTGTTCTTTATCTAATATATAAATGTAACCGAATGGGTAAAGATAGGTTGATGTATGAGCGAGCGATTGTATACAAATACATATAAATACTTTATAGCGTAAGAAAAAACAGCGCGCAATGTTAAATAACAATGCTATTTAATATATATTTAGGAATATACAAAATACCTTACATTGGTTGCCTTATAGTGGTTTCATACCGAAGCCGATAATTGCATCGGCATG